TGGTTTGGGACGCAAGGTTCTTTTTTGCCCTGTTTTGGGCGCTGTTTCGACTCAGGGTTTCAATCGGACCTGGTAGATTTGGAAGCAGTGCCTCCCAAGGTTCCTTTTTGACCTGTTGAGGTGCCAAGGTTTCAAACGGACCCGGTCATTTGGGGCCGTGCCTCCTAAGGTTCTTTATTGACATGGTTTGGGGCGCAGGTATTATTTTGCACTGCGCTGTTTCGACAAGTTTGCCTAGGGCTTCCCGCGCACAGGCTAGCGCCCAAACAGGTCAAAAGGAAGCCCTTCCACGGCCTCCCCACTCGCAGGCAAGCGCCCAAACAGGTCAAAAAGCAACCCTACACAGGTGCCCAAACCGCCCTGTCACAACCTTTCGCAATCCCGCTTGCAACCCGAAACGTGACAAGGGGAGACAAGGCAAAGTCATCTCGACATGCCATGGGAGACAAAGGGAGACAAAGCAAAATCATCTCAGCCCAGCATCCGAGCATCCAGACACCATGGGAGACAAGGGAAGCAAAGAGAGACAAAGGGAAACAAAGCAAAATCATCTCAGCCCAGCCTCCAGACACGCCGTGGGAGACAAGGGGAGACAAATCATCTCAGCCCAGCGTCCAGACACGCCATGGGAGACAAGGGGAGACGAAGGGAGACAAAGCAAAATCATCTCAGCCCAGCCTCCAGACATGCCACGGGAAGGGAGACAAAGCAAAATCATCTCAGCCCCCAGCGTCCAGACACGCCATGGGAGACAAGGGGAGACAAGGAGAAACGAAGCAAAGCGAACCCACGCCAGCATCCAGACACGCCATGGGAGACAAGGGGAGACGAAGGGAGACAAATCAGCCCAGCATCCGAGCATCCAGACACACCATGGGAGACAAGGGGAAGCAAAGGGAGACAAAGGGAAACAAAACAAAATCATCTCAGCCCAGCATCCAGACACGCCATGGAAGACAAGGGGAGACAAAGGGTGGGAAGCATCTTGGCCCCAGGGAATTGAGGACCCCTCACAGCAACGCTGTTTCGTGAACAACCTACACACGTTCCGGTCGCCCAAAAAGCTTAGCGCCCAAACAGATCTAAACGAAACCGCAAAAAAAAACGAAAAGTCCGGCCCAAGGGCTCCCCGCGCGCAGGCTAGCACCCAAACAGGCCAAAAGGAAACCCTACACAGTGACAGGTGCCCAAGCAGCCCTGTCACGGCCTTTCGCAAACCCGCCGCCCAAAAAGCCTAGCGCCCAAACAGGTCAAAATGAAACAAGAAATCGAAAAGGAGCCTAGCTCAAGGGCCTCCCGCACGCAGGCTAGCGCCATCTAGCGGCCAAACTGGTCAAAAGGAAACCCTTCCACGGCCTCTCCCGGCTCGCAGGCAAGCGCCCAAACAGCTCAAAAAGCAACCCTACACAGGTGCCCAAACTGCCCTGCCACGGCCTTTCGCAAAACAATCCTGGCACCCAAAACAGGTCAAAAAGAAACCACACAGAGGTGCCCAAATAGCCTTGCCACGCCGCAAGTGGATAGACTAGGCTAGCGCCCAAACAGGTCAAAAGGAAAGAAACCCTTCCACGGCCTCTCCCCGCTTGCAAGCCACCCAAACAGATCAAAAAGAAAAAACCCTACACAGGTACCCAAACAGCCCTGTCACTGTCACGGCCTTTAGCAAACCCGCCGCCCAAACAGACCTGGCACCCAAACAACTCAAAAAGAAACCAGAAATCGAGTCCAGCCCAGGGGCATCCCGCGCACTGGCTCAAACAGATCAAAAGGAAACCCTTCCACGGCCTCTCCCCGCTCGCAGGCAACCCAAACAAGTCAAAAAGAAACCCCACAGAGAGCCTTGCCATGCCGCAAGTGGATAGACTAGGCTAGCGCCCAACAGGTTTTAGGTCAAAAAGAAACCCCACAGAGGTGCCCAAATAGCCTTGCCATGCCGCAAGTGGATAGACTAGGCTAGCGCCCAAACAGGTCAAAAGGAAACCCTTCCACGGCCTCTCCCCGCTCGCAGGCAACTCAAACAGGTCAAAAAGCAACCCTACACAGGTGCCCAAACCCAAACAGCCCGGCGCCCAAATAGATCAAAAAGAAACCCTACACAGGTACCCAAACAGCCCTATCACGGCCGCCTTTAGCAAACCCGCCGCCCAAACAGCCCTGCCACCCAAACAAGCCAAAAAGAAGCCAGAAATCGAAAAGGAGTCCAGCCCAAGGTCATCCCGCACACAGGCTCGCCCCCAAACAGGTCGCAGGCAAGCGCCCAAACAAGTCAAAAAGAAACCCCACAGAGGTGCCCAAATAGCCTTGCCACACCGCAAGTCGATAGACTAGGCTACCGCCCAAACGGGTCAAAAGAAACCCTTCCACGGCCTCTCCCCGCTCGCAAAAACCCAAACAGGTCAACAAGAAACCCTACACAGGTACCCAAACAGGAGTGTCATGGCTTTTAGCAAGCCTGCCACCCAAACAGCCCTGGCACCCAAACAGGTCAAAAAGATACCCTACACAGGTACCCAAACACAGCCCTGTCACGGCCTTTAGCAAACCCGCCGCCCAAACAGCCCTGGCACCCGAACAGGTCAAAAAGAAACCCCACAAAGGTGCCCAAATAGCCTTGCCACGCCGCAAGTGGATAGACTTGCCATAGGGACGCACAGGCCGCAAGTGGAAGTTTTGCTGCAGGAGCCCTGCCCAACCAAACGGTACTGTTTGAAACCTTATACCCCGGAAGCAGTGCCAATTGAAACCCTATACCCCGGAAACAACTCTGAAAAAAAACCTTCCCAACCCAACGGTACTTTTTGAAACCCTGTACCCCAGACCAAAAAGAAACCCTACACAGGTACCCAAACAGCCCTGTCACTGTCACGGCCTTTAGGAAATCGCCGCCCATACAGCACTGGCACCCAAACAATTCAAAAAGAAACCAGAAATCGAGGCCAGCCCAGGGGCATCCCGCACACTGGCTCAAACAGGTCAAAAGGAAACCCTTCCACGGCCTCTCCCCGCTCGCAAGCAACCCAAACAAGTCAAAAAGAACCCCCACAGAGGTGCCCAAATAGCCTTGCCATGCCGCAACTAAATAAACTAGGCTAGTGCCCAAACGGGTCAAAAGAAACCCTTCCACGGCCTCTCCCAACCCAAACAGGTCAACAAGAAACCCTACACAGGTACCCACACAGGAGTGTCATGGCTTTCAGCAAGCCTGCCACCCAAACAGCCCTGGCACCCAAACAGGTCAAAAAGATACCCTACACAGCTACCCAAACAGCCCTGTCACGGCCTTTAGCAAACCCGCCGCCCAAACAGCCCTGGCACCCAAACAGGTCAAAAAGAAGCCCCACAGAGGTGCCCAAATAGCCTTGCCGCGCCAGTGGATAGACTTGCCAGAGGGACGCACAGGCCGCAAGTGGAAGTTTTTCCGCAGGGGCCCTGCCCAACCAAACGGTACTGTTTGAAACCTTATACCCCGGAAGCAGTGCCAATTGAAACCCTATACCCCGGAAACAACTCTGAAAAAGGAAAAAACTTCCCTACCCAATGGTACTATTTGAAACCCTGTACCCCGGAAACAGATACAAAAAAACCCTACCGGGTACCAAAAAAACCAGTCGGCAAAATTTGATGTCCCGACGTGACCTGACAAGCCAAACGTTGGAGCCAAATCGCTCCACCAAACCCTTGAACCTAATTACTGGTTGAACTTCCCCCAATTCCCTTCAAGGGTGTTTCAACCCAACATGCCGAGTGCCTGCATGCGCCTGCCGTGCAAAACGTACGCGGCCAGGTTCCGTGCGCGGGTTCCACGCAGTGCGCGCGGGTTCCACGCAGTGCGCGCGGGTTCCATGCCGCAGGGTCAGTAGCCGCCCATGTACAGTGCCTGCGTTTCGGTTGAGGGTGCATCTCCACATGTCTCATCTCCGCAGAAAAAGTTGGGGCCAGTAAAATCGGTCTTATTGGATTCAGAACCCTGCAGTGCATTCCAAATTGGAGGAGAGACTGGAGAGGCCTGAGGCTATCAATCCGTCTGGTCATTTGTTTCAAAACAAACTATGATACCTAGCCCACCAGGCATGCGGCATCACATGGCGAACGAAGTTTATCCTCTAATTCTCCCTTCCAAAAGGGTTTGATTTTTGGAACGGAGGGTCGGCAGTCCCCAACCCAACGTGGGCAACGTGAACGATGCGCTACGCGGGCGAGTGGCAGAGCGGAAGAGTTGTGGAAACTTCTTCTTCACACGCTCCAGCTCCTGGTCAGGCTCAGTTGGGTATGGGTTGATACATCTTGGACCATGTTGAAGATCCCTTGGTTGCAGGTTCTTCCAGGATCTCCCAACTGCACCACCCATCAGCTCCTTTTTGATTTGGTAGTCTCGCTCGTCGCGCTGAGTGAGACCCTCTCACCTCGTCCCCTTCAGGGACTAGCGCATTCGGTGGCCAAGTCGGTATTGTACGATGCCTTGGTAAAAACTGTAGTCCCGCAAAGCGCTATGGCTCCTCCACCTTTATTGTAACAGCCAGCAGCTTGATCAAAGGTGCCACCAATATCGAAGCCCGGGTTAAGGTAGGCGTCGCTGTCTCCAACACAGTCCCAGGCAATTGCGGCTGTTCCTGCACCTTCGAGCTTCACAGACGTCCAGCCGCCCGCTCCTCCTTCACGGTACCCTTGACAACGATCGTAGCAGTCGGTGCACTTTTTCATGTTGGAATTGAGAAGGTTCACTTGGAAAATGGGTTCCCCGACGCAATCAGCAACGTCCCAGATTTTGAGCCAAACTGGTGCCTGACGGCGATTTGATGAGGCGACTTCTGCGGCTCGAAACTTCTGCTCGCAAACCAGAAGGTTATGGGTCAAACAGTGAGGAACCCTTGCCTCTGATATTTGATTACAATATTGTACAATGTATACATATAGTCCAACCATACCTATAGTAGTGAAAAAGCACGACGGCCCCACTCCTTTTTTGCCGCCCTGAACCGTGACAGGCTGGTAAACTGACACTAGCCCCCTATGGAGCTAGTGCCCGGCGTCTCCGGTAGGTGCACCGCAGCATCCGCCCGTAGACGCTTGGCCTCTTCGGTGTCCTTGAGCGCCCAGGTGCCGTTCTCCATGACCGCCACCAGCTTGCTGCCAGGATTTCCTCGCCTGGTGCCCATCGAACCAGACGAGCCCCACCAATCGCCAGTCTCTTGTCTTCGCCAAGTGAAGTTCCATTCAACAAGTCATAGCCGGTCTTGGAGTCCATCACCGACACCTGTCTCCATCTCGACACCGATGAGAGCTGAGGAAGTCAGCTTCTTCCATCGCTGTCGCAGCTTGCGACATCTCTGCCGCCAAAGACGAGCGGACGACCCGCTTCAGTAGGCCTGAATGAAAGGCCAACGCGCAAGCAGGAGCCTCACCCTCCAGGATCTTAGGGCTCGCCAGCAGCAGGACCAATCCACCTTGAGAACGACCCTTCGGCATGCCTCCGAACGAAGCATCGAAGACCGCCAGGTTCCTGAAGACTTGAAAATGTGGTTCACGGGCTCGGTCAACAAGAATCTTCAATTCAGTCAGCGCTGCCGGGTCGTTGATGCCAGCCAGCTGTTGAAGTCGCGCGCACCCATATAGAAGATCTGCTCGCACTTGCCTGGCTAGCCAACTCGGTTGTCCAATCATGGCGCCAATCCATGCTCGCTCATTGGGCATCACTGGTTGTCGGCTTTGAGAGTTTGACCTCTGTGGAGGATCTTCCACCTTCTTGGCATATTCGTTCATCTGGATGGTGACGGAAAAGTCCTCATTCTGTTTCTCCCATCTACAACAGAACCTGGTGTCTTCCTTCGGATGCACCCACTCGGCGAAGGTGAACAGATCCTTGAGCTTGGGCCACAACTCCTTTTCGGCCTCCTCACTGCCGATGAAGCGGACATCATCCACGCGCACTGCCACACATGGCCCTCCGGGTCGGACACTCCAGGCGCCAAACGCAGCTCCTTGCCACCAATGCCTGAAACATCTCTGCTGAAACCCTGGTAGCATAGCCGAGGGCTTTCTGCAAGTCCAAATCCGGCCTTCTTCATCCGGAAAAGGTCAGTGCGTGCTCCAGCAGGAACCTTGGTCATCAGGAATTGGCGAACAAAGAGCGGATAGCTCTTGGGAGATTGGACAAAAACTCTCTGGCCCTCTGGGAGATAGTCACCCTGCAAGAATGCCGCAGAAATGTCAGCAAAGTGCATGCGCCAGTGGAACTGCGCTGCCAGGAAGCGCAGGAAGTTGTGAACAACCAAACTGGCTGTAGGTCCATCGGTGGCATAGTCACCTGCTCACTGGTCACGGCGGCCAGCTATCACCAACCTGGCTTTCAACTTGGCCAGTTCCAAATCAGCATCCGTTGGATGTGTATTCTTTGGGTCCGCCTTGTTCACCGAGACGAAACGGCTGGGGAGAACCTCAGAATCGTGCACCGTGTCCTCACACATTACCGGGGCCAGTGCATCAGGCTCAACATAGATCTGAAGTGCATTGATGATGGGCTTCTCGAAGGCTTGTTGCCATGCCGGAGACAGGTGGCTCCATTGAAGTTCAAGTCTCATCTTGCCCGTCTCGGGTTTGTCCACATCCGCTTCAATCACCAGCGGCAGGTGCTCAGTCGAACACAACTCCAGTAGGCCACGAGGGTCAGGATGAGCGGTCGTAGCCGCCAATGCTGCAGTTGCCTCAGACTCAAATGCCTGAAAACATTCCAAGACTTCCATGGCCAAGTCCATCCGACAGGAGGATGTGGACGGGATCTCCAACGCGGGGTCGATCAACTGCGAAGCTTGCCCTTCTGACACCAGAACCTGATATGCTTCGGCCTTGAGATGCCGCCGCCTATCTTCTGCGGCCGCTCGGCCCTGCATCCAGCTGGCAAGAACCGGATGATCTCGCACCGGATCCATGGTCACGAAGCGAGTCCTCTCCAAATCTGGTTCATGTGCACTGAAGCATTCCAGCCCTTCCAGTAGATGTTGTCCACGAGGTACTCCTTCGTTGCCTGCGGTGTGAGTATCGCGCTTGAGTAGCTCGCAGGCCTTGTAGACCGGGTATTTCTGGAGGAATGGCTCGAGCATCTTGTTGATGGCCCTCATCAGGAACGAACCCGGGACAAACATGTAGTGGCGAGGTTGTAGATGGACCCTCCATGTGCACAGCTCCCGTTGAGATGGAGCGTGTAGCCAATCTTTCTCACCACTCAATCGAAGCGACATTTCACCAGGAAGGTTTGCCGCGATATAGTCGCTGAGGTCATCAATACCTGAGCACGACCACAAGCTTTCTTGTACACGTCGATGATCTCTTTCCGAGTGAGAGGCCTTTGAAGACGACCAGGAACATCTCCTAGCGTTCTCCACTTAGCCACTCACCCTCGCCCTGATGCACGGAGTCGGATTCCTCCTTCTGATACCAATCCGCCTCTCACCATCGGGAGGCCATCCTGCCTCCAGCGCGTCATAGTCGGCATGAATGGGATGACATTCTCGAAGCATGTCGACCACGTACATGTCGTGCGAGACCTCATGAGAATTGCCTTGATCATCATACATGCACATTGGGCACAGCAAACACGTCGACCTCGGTGAACGGAGAATCCATGGATGGCGCCGTCACATTTGTATCATCTGAAAACGGACTGTATGAAGGATCGGCACTGTTCGGCACTTCGGATTCTCCGCCTCTTCACTGATCTCGCAATCCCTCACCGGCATCACAGCAAGTGCCTCCTTTTTCTCAAGCTTTGTCTTCATCTTCTTCAGATGCTCTTGCGTTGACTTGAATGCTGTCTCATAGAAATCCCTCTTTAGTCTTATTGAAGTCAAGGGCGGGTTCACCGCCGATGAGGATGCCACTGTAGCCCGGATCAAGGAATTTTCTGCGTCCAGCTTCCGCCGGGTTGAGCGATCGCTTGGTCGTTGCTCCTCCTTCTGTTTGATCTTTTGGGCCACAGAGATCGGCATGTCGTCTAAGACGGATGTGGCCCGGTGTAGATCCTCCACTCTTACGGGCCTATCCTCCGGAGGCTGTTCATCATCGCTGAACTCTGTCGAAGGGTACGTGGGATCAGCCTGAACACCGTTTGTTCAGCGATGTCCGCATTCACATCAGATCCGTCTTCTTTGGTGACCTTCGTGGACCCAATCTCATCTCGTAGTTTGTGCCTGTATCTGATCCAGACCCAGCAGGTCCCTCCCGCGACACTTGATCTTGCAGCCGGCGGGCGAGCCCTCGCCGGCGCACATGGCTCATAATGCATGACCATCGAGCCCTCGGCCAACAACTCGAGCCTTGGCATGTCCGGAACATGTTGGGTGCTCCAAACGCCCGGATCCAACCATCCCTCAGCAGTGTCACTGTGCTCTGAGCTGAAGCATCTACGGAAGCGATGGCCATCTGGTACAGGGAAAAGGCATCAATCACATGCGTCACTGCATACTTGGTGGTTTTGGGATCCCATACATAGAAAGTATCGCTACAGTTGCGGATGTTGAATGCCATCGGCCTCGAGTAGGCGGCCTTGGGAGTGACATGAGGAGGGGTCACCTGCTTGCAAAATTGGCAATCCAAGTCCTTGATAGCCTACAGCACCACCGGCTTGGCTGCATTTTGGGACATCATCCTTGCCAGCTTATCGTTGCTGATGTGGCCCACCAAGGAGTCGTAGCGGTGGAGACCGTCCGCCCTCCGCAGTAGGCTCCAACTCCACTGGAACAGTTTCCCACACTCTAGTTGCTGGTGTATGCCGGTGTAGTTCAATCCTCATGTTTCATCATTCTCCTCCTTCAAGGCCTCCAGCCCATCCACCGCAGGCTGAGCATTAGGTTCATGGTCGGATCGTGTGAGAACTGGGTCGACAGTGATGGAAGGGCGCCTCGTCGTCCAGGGCGGCTGTCAGAACCGCCTTGGGCGTTTTCTTCGCTTTTGCTTGGTCGTCCCCGGCCCTTGGCTCCGTCCTTGTTGGCGTTGTCCGCGCTCCTTGGGCATGCCCTGCGCCGTCATCATCTCTGGCATCTTCATCATCAAGCCATCTGGGCCATGTCCATCTGCGCGGGCGTTTGAGAGCTCGAAGCTGCCTGAGCAGGGTCTGGCTCCCGGTCCTTGCCATCTCTGTTCTTGTTCATCTTGCCCATCGTTTTGCGGCCTGGAGTCCTGGAGGACTGAGAGAAGTTGGTGACCTCCGCAGCGTTGATTCAAAGACTGCCGCTCACAGGATTCCTCACCTGAGTCATGCCTTGTCGCGCCCCACGGTTTCCCATTCCTGCTGAGTGAGATCTCTCAACAGAGCCCAGTCTTCTTGCTGTGGCTGTGACGAGGGAAAAAGTCGCGGATAGGGGCGCTCTTGGCTCCAATGTCCTAACTGATGGCAGATGAAGCAGGGCTCTTTCTTCTGCTGTTCTGCCACCCATTTCTTCACATGCTCACTTCTTGCCGCCGCCGGACCGCCAACTGTCTGAGCAGCGTCAGCCTCCATGGCTCAAGCCTAGCCTAGCTACGGCCACAGCCCCTTTTCGGGGCCCCGCTACCACTGAAAAAGCACGACGGCCCCACTCCTTTTCTGCCGCCCTGAGCCGTGGCAGGCTGGTAAACTGACAATAGTAATTATCATGATATTTTGGGGCGACTTGTGTGTTTGAGACTTTCTATTTGAGCTATTGGTTTGCCACTGATGGTGACCAATTCAACGTGGATATCGTGATATTTGCAAAACGGTCGAGACTAGTGGTTTATATAGCAGATAATGAATTTACAGGCCAACAACCTAGATGTACCAACATGCGAAGCACCCTTTTCCTTGAGCCAAACATGGAGGTCACATGAGTATGTACAGGTGTACAATCGTGAAACTACACCCCCCGCTGAACGCACTTGATCGCAAAGGAAGTGAAGTACTCCATACACGACTATGTACATGGGACAACGTGCATGCTCTGACCTCCGGTTCCCCCATGTTTCTCGTAACACCTGATGTGCCTGCGGCTTTCATAGCTTTCCTACCGACCTGAAGCGCGAAGGGAACATCAGTCTTTGCCCTAATTATCAAGAATTAAATGCCGTTCGAAAGATTGCAAATCGGACGCAACACTTTTCACATGCATCCACAGCTCGTCAAAAGTGAAAATGGGCCTCTTACGTAGGCACATGTTTCCACGCGGCATGCTGTTTGATGCTTCCATTTTGGAAGAGTGTGCGTCGACACTTGCAAACTAATGCCAAACAAAAATGCGGAGAGCCTCAAAAGAAGTCAGGGCGTTGAGGCATCTGCTTCCGCAGAGTGTGCTTGGACTTTGCAGGAATGGCATCGGCTCCCGCCGTGCATTTAGGGTTCACTGCCCCTGGCGCCACCATTCTGCGCCATAGTTATCACAGCGCCAAGTCCAATCTGCTTGGTACCAGCCCGGGATCGTGCCTGCGTCATCGTCAAGGTCACGCCAACTGCGGGCATTGCGATTGCGGACATACGGTGCATTCTCACGGGTAGGACGTGCCGCTGTTCGCCAAGATCCCTTTCCTTTCCCCTTTGCACGTTCGACGCCTTCACGGTTGGGGACATTGACGTTCCTTGGATCGGCTCGAACGAGGTGCTCATATGATGGAATGCTCTGTAGATCTGATGCGAGCCAGCTCACGAACGATTCCTTCAATGCCTCCACGTCCTTCTCTTCCGAGAGGAAAGAACCAGAAAAGCCCAATACTTCAAATCGGGATGCTTCCATGGCGTACAGCCCGATGAACACTCCAGGGCGAAGAATTCGGTTCTTCCAGAAGACAAAGACTTCCTGGGCGACATCTACTTCCCTCTGCGTGGTGTCCGGAATCATGAGAATTTCACATTGGCTCCCGTCCTGGATCTGCTGAGCTGTCCTGGTCGGAATGGGGAGGACCGCTGTGTGCAAGCGCTGGAGAAACTTCAGACTTCAGGCAGTCCGGAGTCACATCTTGCGCTGCGCAACTAAAGGCATAAAATGCGTCAGTACAGAGGCCTTCAGTGAGGGACGCAAACTCTAGCTTCTCTGCTTTGTCAGTACTGTGACTTGTAGCGATCGCTGACTGGCCGGTGCGTGCTGCATCTTGCGGTCCCCCGGGCACGAATGTCGTCGTCAGGGAACATGTCAAGAGTGAGATCGAAACCGAAGTCAGCTGCGAGATTCCCAAGGCGTACCAACATAGAGGCCTTTCTCATGTCAGTAGCCACCCTTGCCAATTTGCCACAGTTGAGGCAAGAAAGGCAACCAAATGGAGAATCTGTTCTGCACTCTGCGCAGTACTGGGGCTCCACCTCGTGCTGCCGCGAGACGTGAAGAAGCGCGCCGTTCCTCTCGGGTCATATCGCATGATCATTTCAGGTGTCCATACAGCCCAATCCACAGCCCCAAGCGACAGCGCCCATGCTGAATTGTTGGGGGCATCGCCTTCCGGCTGCCATGCAATTGCCATGTACGGAGTTGAATAGGATCCGACATTGGTGTTGCTGGTCCTTGCAGTTGTACGACTCGATGATGAAGGCTCCTTCTATCCCAGGCCGTGCCCCAGGTAGTTCTAACTGATCCCGTTCGAGTTCGAGTTCAAGTTCGAGTTCGATGCGCGAGATTGCGTGGATCGAGCGAGAGCTAGGGGGGTGGACCAGTTCGAGTTCGAGTTCGAGATCGAGCTCGGATCGACACCCAATTATCGAGCCGGGGGGGGGTGGACCGGTTCGAGTTCGAGTTCGAGTTCGGATCGACACACAATTATCGAGCCGGGGGGGGTGGACCGGTTCGAGTTCGAGTTCGAGTTCGGATCGACAACGCAATTATCGACCCGGGGGGGGTGGACCGGTTCGAGTTCGAGTTCGGGTTCGGATCGGCGACTAAGAGACTTATAAGGGGGGTGGACCAGTTCGAGTTCGGATCCACAACAACAGCAACGAGAACCAACAGCAACGACAACAACCACAACCGCAATCGCCACGACTCACAACACAGAAGAAGAACAGGAACCAACCAAGCTAGCAACAAAGCAATCAACCTGTTGAAAGTATCCGCGCTGCGCAGTCTCATCTTTGCAGCCAACACTTGTTTTATTAGGATCTGGTGTGCTGCTGGGGGGGGCGCTGCGCCCCCTCCAACCCCCCCCGCGCCACGAAATCTGCACTTCCTCTCCAAAACCCGCGCCTGCCACGAAATCAACATTTTAGTGTGAACTCCCTGCCGCAAAAAATAACCCTGGAGACCAACCAACCAACCAACAGCCACCTGCCAGCGGCGCCAGCAGCAACCAACCATCTGACCACAACGTAGCATCCCTTTTGTGGGCCATCCGAGGTTAAAATTTAGAATAGGAAGAAGCCTATTGCAACGTGGCATGCCTTTTGTGGGCCACAGATACAGTTTAGAGTAGGAAAAAGCCATTGCAACGTAGCATTCCTTTTGTGGGTAAAATTTAGAAAAGGAAGAAGCCATTGCAACGTAGCGTGCCTTTTGTGGGCCACCCGAGGGTAAAATTTAGAGCAGGAAGGAGCCATTACAACGAAGCATTTCTTTTTGTGAGCCACCCGATGGTAAATTTTAGAGTAGGAAGGAGCCATTACAACGATTTACAACGTAGCATTCCTTTGATGGGCCATTCGAAAGTAAAATTTAGAAAAGGAAGAAGCCATTGCAACGTAGCATGCCTTTTGTGGGCCACCCGAGGGTAAAATTTACAGCCGGAAGGAGCCATTATATTACACTGTAGCATTCCTGTTATGGGCCATTTGAAGGTGAAATTTAGAATAGGAAGGAGCCATTACAACGCAGCATTAGTTCGAATTCGACTTCGAATCGACGATAATTTTTTCACTCCGGGGGGGGGGGAACTAGTTCGAGTTTGAGTTCGAATTCCAATCGACGACAATTTTGACGCCCGGAGGGGGGAAACGCAGTTCGAGTTCGAGATCAAATTTCGAATCGACGACAATTTTGACACCGGGGCGGGGGACCAGTTCGAGTTCGAGTTCGAATTCGAATCGACGACAGCGATTTTGGAGTTCGACTCTTTCTATTCGTCCACTGGGTTGACTTCTAACAGTTCCAGTTCGAGTTCGAGATCGAGTTCGAGATCGAGTTCGAGTTCGGTTCCTTCCATATATATATATATATATCCTTTCAAGGTTAAGTTCATCAATACTGTATAACTGTTTCAGTTCGAGTTCGAGTTCGAGTTCGAGTTCGAGCGGGGCACACTATGTTCTATCCATGCCATGCGCCATTCACCCAATTTCTCATACTTTCCGAACAAATCCCACCGAGATCGTGCCAACAGCGATTGCTTCCTGGCGTCTGCTTCCTCTCCGCGGTCAAGCCGTTCCCGGCGAGGTTCAGGAATGTTCCTGATGCCCTGGTTGAACGATGCTCGCTCCATTGCGTAAATCGTGATTCGCGTAAATGAAGCATTTCGCCACGGTATCGTAAGCATAGATCAGGAATTGTTGGGGATCCAATCGGTGGTCACAACGGACTGACTCTGCGTCAGTCACTGCA